ATCAATAATACTATATTTGTAAGTAACTCGTATAGAAATAATAAACACATATAAAAAAACGTTTTTGTCAATAATAATTGTATAATTTTAAATAAATTTGCCGATTATGCCAATGATTAAAACTATAGATAAAGAATTTATGGATAGAATTTGATTACTACCATTGCATAAATCAGTCTGACAGCAATGTACACCATTACCAACTGCAGTAAATGGTTGACAATTATCTGTTATATTTCGATTAACAATAGCTGCTCCTTTGGTTTTCTATTAAATAAAAAGATTAGAATAATAATATGAATTTTAAAAACTTACTAACCATGCAATAGAATTGCGATCCATTCATTGTTGAATTTATTTGTGCAATACCTGTTGACTTGAATGGATCATTACAACCGTTACATGAGTAACATATAAGATTAATTACATATCCACATGAAACTAGATAATTAAAATTATAATTTAAAATATTCTTTTTTTTTTAAATTATCCTTAAACTTACGAAGTAAAATCAATACAGTGAAAAGAATAGATTGATAACAAGACATATTTATTATGTAATGAAGGTTCGAGAAGTATTGCACATTGTTTAAATGAAAGGTGTTCACAATATGTGATTATTCAAGCAAATCGCTAGAAAAGAAAAAAATCATATATCAATGCATCAATAATTACTGTACTTAAAATAAATACCTATTTCTATACATTCTTTTCTTTCTGTGCGCGCTTTGTCACATGTTTACTAAAAATAAGCAATATTACGCTTTTTTTATACAAAAAAACAACCAAGGTTTTTCGATATAAATTTTAAATAAAATTAAAAATATCCCAATATTTGTCATGTTTATTTGATAATTTTGTAATTCATTTACTCTGTCAGTACGCATACCTTACTTTATAAAACAAATAATATTTTCATATTATGATCTTTTACTTTTCAATACCTATTTTCTTCTTTATTGAACAAGCTAGTTTTTGTTAATTTATAAGATGAAGTGTGAACGGATAATTCATTTTTAAAATCTAGATGTATAAAAGCAGTTGAAGAAAATACCAATTAAAAATTGTTTAAAGTTTCATAACTGGGAATAAATACTTCATCAATTAATCTTATTAAATCATATTCAATAACAATAAAAATTCGATAACTCTAAGCTATATCAAGTAATCTCACTGAACAAGTAAACAGGAAATAAATAAACTCTACTAGATATCTACATTTCCTTATTGTAGCGCTATGAATTATAGAACTTTGATATTATTTATTTATTGTTTTTGTTTGGATTAATTAATTGTGAACTAGGATGTGAAAATAAATATATGTACCTAATAATAATTTAGCGGTTAATTTTACAAAGTAATTATATATAAAGAAAAAATATTCTAAAGATGGCGTTATCAAGGGTACGAATGCGAGTGACATGAAATATAATTTTTCAGGTTAGAGATAAAATCTAGGAAGAAATTTCATGTACCGATTGACAAATAATATTCAAAGGATAAAACCGTTTAGGTACTTCCGAGAGAAATTATATATCAAATCCTTAGGTATAAATACTATATTCTTTTATCAAAAATATTTTAGTTTATTTAATAAATTAAAAAGAAAAACAAATAAAAACGAAAACATTTCTGCTCGATTGATAGAAAAAAAACAAGTTAAAGTTAGAATGAAGTTTAAAAAATGTTGAATAAGTCTATATGTACATATTGTTTATAAGAATTTCGAAAAGCCAGCAACAAGTAAAGCCAAAGCAATTGAAGTTGTTGATATTAATTTATTACCACTGTTACATAAATCATATGAGCAACACCATTGACCAATGCCAAGTACATTGGTTGTTGCACAACTTGTACTGATATTTCGAGTTACAACGCCAAGATAGGTTGATTTCTAGATGAAAATAAATTGAAGAAAAATTCTTAAAATAATAAACATTAACTTACTGCACAAGCTGCACCAGTCATATTGCTTGTAGACGTCAGTATACCAGTCTTATTAAATGGATCGTTACAATAACTTCCAATACTTCCTTGGCAGGTGTAACACATAAGACCATCGGTATGTTGACTAACAACTAGAATAATTTCAAATAGAAATGAAGACTATTCATAAAAATCAATCTTACCAAATAAAATTGCACAAAGAAAAAAAATTTTGCAGTAAGCAGTCATAATTTATCTTATAATGTAGATAGACGATGTATAGGTAATTTTTGACGGACTAATATTGTTATGGGAATATGCAGCTTCTTAAATAGAAAAATTATTCAAGCGAAGAAATATGATAAAAGAGAAATATCTAATGAGTAAAGAATGCAACAAAAAAAACAAGCGATTTTTATGCGTTCTATTACTATCACATAAATACACCCCCACCCACCTTTTTTTTTATAAGATGACTGTTTAAAGGATTACCTTGTTTTTTATTAATCAACAAAAAAATACTCATTTTCGATCTCTTGTTAAATTATGGGCGTATTTCTATTTGTTGTAAAATACTGATCAACCTTGCACAGTAATAATGGATCAGAAATAGGAAATTAAATCTATAATATAATTAAAATATTTTCTTAATGTAGTACACCTTTTTCTCTCATAAAAACGCAATTTCGTCTAGTCAAGTTTGTAGCTTCGTTTTTTTTTGTATGACAAATATCATACATAAATATGATTCATTTCCAACTTGAAGAGAAGCTCGGAAGTAAGTCGAAAACATAATTCACTTCCTGAAGTACTCTTCGAAAAGAACGATGCATGACAATTATCGAGAGTCAATTTATAGAAATTGTTTAATAAAAATCAGCATTAAATTAATCAAATAATATATTTATCATGAAATTCGATACACTCATTTACACGTATGATATGTTTTTCTGTTTACCTTTTTTCGTCCTTAGTATAAATATGATATTTTTCGACAACTTGCTTTGATGATGACTAAGTCATCATCAATACAACGAAAAAATACTGACAGTTTAGATATAAACAAAAGTATTTAAACAAAAAACAAGTATAATATATGATTACAAGGTTTTCTCAATTCAATTTCGATTTTCTTGAGTTATATGATATATTAATCCATAAATAACGATTAAAGATTAGAGCAGATTGTATGATTTTAAAAGTTATTAGGTATATTAAGTCTGTATATATATGAAAGCATATTTTATTTATTCTTACTGTAAATTCTTGTCGGAGAAATAAAGTACCTTTTATTCTTATGTATTTTTCAATTTTATCTATAATTTATATGTAATGCAATAACATGAAGTCTATTCTTTCTTACTATGTACTAAGTATTGGATAAAAAGTAACCTATTATTTTTTTTCATAATAAACAAGAATATAAATTCAGGGTGTGGCAAATCTCAAAGTGAAACCGATTTTGAATAAACTTCTACTTCTGATTTCTGATAAAAATCAGAAATCTACTTCTCGACGTCACTATTTAAGACAACCGTGTAAGGTGATTTCAACACATTGATCAATTCCGTCTTATCTAAAAATAACAGCAAATTTTTATCGTAATTGACTTCATACTAAGTTTTTAAGATTTCTACATAAACAGACCTGATCTATATTCCTCTCATCAAATTCAAAAATTCGTAATAAATTAGGAATCAGGAGTTTACTCTTTGTACTTGAAAATTCTTCATAAATATTGTGGGATATTTGTATTATCTATATGGTAGCCTTAACGATTAGAAGAGAAGCAGAAATCAGAAGTTTACTTTTCGAGGTGTAGATTTCAAAATTGTTCTCTACTCTACGGAAAAGCTTTTATCATTTATACATTGACTTCATTGGATAGTAGGAATGTAAAAGTCAGAAAGAAGAAGTATAATTTTGTCAATATAAAGATATTAATTGATAACAGAAAGTCATCATTTTATTGACGAACTAACTCTTCTCCTTTATGACTTTTACTTTTCTCTTGTTCGTTGATGTCATTGTATAAATGATAGAAGTTTCTTATGAAGAGCAGGAAACAATTTTTGAAATTTTTCATAAAAAACTAAATTTCTAATTTCTGCCTCTCTTCTAACTAATGAGGCCACCGTATAGATGATACAAATATCTCTCAATATTATAAAGAATTTTCGAATTTTCAAAAAATTTTGACGTGTAGACTTTAAAATTTGTATTAATTTGATATTTGTCACCCTATAAATTTATTTAGTTTATATACAGAAGTCAAATCAAATTTATTTTGTTTTCTACATCGAAAAGAACACGAAGAAAAATACATAACAGATATATCAAACAAAGAGGACTTCAAACATATGCAAATACATGAACTTTGATTAGTTTTTATAAAATATCGAGATTTTTGAGGATTCAGTCTACTTTCGCTGAAAATGAAATTCATCGAATAGAAACGGTTAAATAGCTCCTAAACATATTTGAAGTAGTTCATCTGATATATAAAATATAAGTACCTCTCTTCGAAACATGCCGAATCATTAATATACGTTATTTTTTCTTTTATTTTAATTCTAAACATTTATATAAAATCCAGTATGTTCTTTTAATTTTATCTAATAATTTTATTAACATATTCATTTACAAAAACAACTAAATCATTCGATATAAAAAAGAAACAAAATTTAACAATAAATGCGAACAAATGACTGAATATTTTCTCGGCATACCGGACATGAACGAAGACTATATCCACATGATACACAAGCACAGAAATGTCCACAAGGCATACAAGCAATTTGTCTTTCTTCCGTAAGACATATTAGACATTCATCAGATTTTCTACTTGAACTATTAGATGTACTCATTGACATTTGATTTTTTGAAGGAATTATTATTCTCTCTGGATTACCTTGTAAAGTATCAATTTGTTTTTTAAGAATAAAACAAGACATAGCTAGATCGTTGTCTGATTCAGAATCATTATGATTATTTTTTAATTGATCTTCCAAAACTCGTCGAATAATTGCCAAATCATATTGTGTACGAAGTTGTTGTACTCTAGGTAGATCAAGTCATGCATTAACAAGACGAACAAGAGTATTTTGATCAATCTCATCATTCTTTTTTGTAAGTTGACTTTTTTTCATTTGAATTCGAAAATAAAGAGGATCTCCACAGAAATGTCTAGCATATATACAATTGGGAAACCATCGGCAATGTTCTACTTTTGGACTATCTTTTGCACTCCATTTATGTAATGATCCATTACAATAAAAACAAGTTACTGTATTTTCACTGCCAGAATAAAAGAATCCTGCTTGTGCTAAATCATCAGCAGTTGGAGAACTTTGTGTCCAAGAAGGATTATTAAATGTTTGTAATCGACGAGATATCTCGCACATAGATGCATGATGTGGTTTAAAGGGTTCACCAATATTTTGATCCATTACTAAAGGTTTAGGTTTTGATGATGATGATGATAATGATAGAACAAATGCACATTGAGGTGCAAGTCTTTGATGAACTTCTTGTGGATTATCATTAGATGTCCAACGTTGACATATAGTATTACAATATATACAAATAACTCGATCATTTATATTGCAAGAAAACCATCCATTCGATGCCATTGACTCACGGCTAGGAGTAGAATGAGGCCAGTTAATAAAACTTTTTGTACGAGCTGTTTTGATAGAATCAATTTCTTTAAATGAAAATCGGCGTTTTGATGGTTGAATAATAGCTTCTTTTTTCTCTAATGATAATTCATCACAAGTTTCCGTTTGGGTTCTAACTCGTTTGATAATAGCAGAACAACGTTCATGTACTGATTGATCTGTATGATCACACATTTGTATGATTTCCATGGTTATTGTTTATTTGACTGTAGAATAGTTTGATTAATGAAAATACAACCGAATAGAAACTATTTTATACAAACTGAAACTGGAAAAAAAACCGTTAGCAAGAAAAATGCTTGTAGACATCGAAAATCGTCCTTCTTACGATAATGTTTATGACTCATATTTTTCTTTCCAAAACAACAGAACGAAACAATAATACATGACAGTGTGAAATTTACATATATATTCACGAGTTGTTTTTATTTCAGGTAGATCATGCTATAATAATAAAAAAATTTTGGATTTTATCTTGATTGTTTATCGTGTTTTTTCAAACTATTTTTAAGTCAATGTCTCATTTCCACACAGGAAAAAAATACTAGTCATACATCCTTATTTTTTGTTGGTAATATTTTTCGAAATTGGAAGTCGTTTTATTATAGTGGAAGTATTAAAACTATATATGATTTATTAGTTCTTCTTGAGTGGAATAATTTCGAATTTATATTGAACAGTTGTTTACGAAATATATACTTATGAAAATCTTTCTCCGTTTTATATTAAACATATCCTATTAAGAAAGTCTTGAGTTAATAGTTTTTCACAATTTCTAAGCATATGAAACTTGTTATTTCGTCTGAATCTTTTAGAAATCTAATTCCATGAATGTAATGATGACTCATACATACGCATTGCTGGAGTACTTCTCACATTCACCTGAGAAATATACCTATCGCATACTTATGTGTCAAGGTGAAAAATCCAAGTTGAAACATCAGAAAAAAATTATACTTTCCACGAATCTTCTTTATTAGCATTCGTTTGATTATGCAAAATATTTTACAGGTAATTTTTTTATTGCCATTTGTTTAAATTAAATTCTATTGCCTCTACAATTTGCTTTTCTTTATTTTACTTTATCATTTGTTAGCTTTACAAAAAAAAGAAAGAAATAGTATTTACTATAAGAGAGAATGAAAGAGAAAAAAGAGGTACTGAAATAAAGCATTACTGATATTAAGTTTTTTTTCATTCTCCACTCATTTACATTGGCAATCATATATATATATATTTAGTGCCACAAACAAAAAAAAAGAAAAGAAATGTTTTGACGTATAGTTTTATAATAAAATGGTCTTAAAAAATCTTGTTCGATATATTATCAACAAATATTTAAAAGACTATATTGAACAATTAGATTATGAAAAACTTAAACTTGATCTAAAAAATGGTAATATTTATTAAATATTTTTTTTTAAAATTTCTTTCGCCTAGGTCATGTCTGTTTAGAAAAACTTCATTTAAAACCTGAAGCATTGGTAAATTTATTTATGAAAAGAAATTTTGAGATTTTACAATTAGGATATTTTAGGTTGATCTTAGTCTTCCTGTAACTGTTGCTGTCGGTTATCTTGGTATAAATTTAATTATACTATATAATGTAAAGACGATATTTTTATTTATAGAAAAATTAATATTAACTATTTCATGGACAAATCTATACAATAATCCAACAAAAGTTTTTATCGATGGACTTTATATGTTAATTGTGCCAAAAAATGGTAAAAATTCTATTTTTTCTCTCATCGATAAAACATTTTCTAAGCTGATTTTAAGTCCTATTTAATTATTTTCCTTGCGTCTGAAAAACCAACTGAGAATATCTTGAAAGATTGAATAGTGCTGAAGATAAAAAAAAGCCATGAATAATATATTTATTTGGTAAATACCAATTTTACGCATTCGATTCTTTCAGACAAAATTTCTAAACTGTTGTTTATGTTTGTAGAAGTTCGTCGAGATTTTACCGAATATTATGATGATAAAATGCAACGTGTTCAACGAAAAGTTGATAATTTAAGAAAAGCAATATTAAGTTTGTATTTACTAACGAAAAAAAGATTCTTTTTATTTTTATAAATAATCTATTGAAGATAATAAAAAACTAGATGAAAAAGAGACAACATTTATGGAACGAATGAGATTACAAATCATGCAAAATCTTGAAATAACAATACATAATTTACATATTAGTTATGAAACGATATCAACAACTAAATTAGGACATCCATTTTCATTTGGACTTACTATTCATCATCTTGAAATGATTGTAAGATTTTTTTATAAAGATAAAAATAAAGTCTTGTAAAACTTTTAACTATTTAGACAACAACAAATAATAGATTAATTGGAAAAATAAAAGAAAATTCAGCTATTGTTTTTAAAGTAAATTGTTTCGTATTTTAATTTGTTATTGTATTATGGAAATTATTTTAGATGAAAGAAATGCATGCACTTTCACTTTATTGGAATACAGAATGTAAATCAAGAATTGACATGCCATTTGATGATGTTGTGGTCAGTAATAAAATATATATCTACATATTCAAAAAGACATAGATCGAGGATAAATAAATATTGATGTCATGGGTTAAAGATAGTTAGTTTTCTTACGGAGAAACAAGCAAGGTTTTGAATGATCTGACATTGGCGAGTGTTATCCTATGAAAACCAGTTTGTAATGCTTCATATAGCAAGTGGAATAACCACACTTGAAGTTTCGCTTTTCTCCTTTGAGTTTCCTATAGAAAATAATTAACCACTTGAATAAAACTTCTATAGTTACCATGTGTGACGATTACTGAATACATTTCAGTAATGACTTAATTACTACCTTATAATAAAATTCTATAAGTTTGACATTGAAAAATTTTTCTGATTATACAAATTACTCAAGTTCTCTGACTGAATGCTTTTTCACTGTTCTCTTACGTATTTCAGAAAGACTTAAAATCGAAAATCACCACAAATATTCATGAAACAAAGACCGATGAGATGAATTACAGTTTGTATATCTATAACTTTTTCTTCTAATTCTTACTTTGTATTTTGATTTATTTCTTGTAGTTCTCCATCCAGTAAATCTTACTATTGATTTACTCATGATATTACAACCAGGAGATTTTAATTTCGAACGCCCAGCATATGATATTGATATTCAAATTGAACATTTAAATCTTACTATTGATCCAAAACAATTTTCTGATTTACTTGACTTTATTAAATTTCAAAATTATACTAAACTTTACGGTACACAATAATTCTTAACAAAATTTATAATTTATTTTTTAAATAGATCGATGTCAGGAATATCGTGAATTAAAAACACAAGAAGTACTAGATGTCAATATATTAACAATCGAACAAAAAGAACGTATACGAGTAATAATTTTCTTGATCATAATTTTATAATATTAGTATTTGATCTAAAAGTATTTAGAATCGAAATTGGATGTATTCAATCTAGCTTATATTTATCATAATATTGAAATAGAAACAAATCCGACTTTAATAACTAACCATAATCGACATCATCATCACCGGTTAAAAACAAATCGAATAGTAACGCCAACAAATACTACCAATAATAATAATCATCATCATAAATGGTGGCATTCTTGGTGGAAAACAAAAAGTCATTCAAAAGAAGGTGAACGTCGAAAATCATCAACATCTGAGTCAATTACAACTCATGAAGACTTTTCTATCGAAGATGTAAGTTATTTATGATTATAATTATTGAAATCAATTATTTTATTATATAGTCACCAAACATCGACATTAAAGTTAAAGTTAATAATCTAGTCTTGAATTTATCATTACCACAAACAAATAATCAATCTCAATTAACAGATAATGATATTCTTTGTCCAATTAAAATAACTGATGCACGTATCGGTTTCAAACGACGAGCTATCTCATCAAATATTTCGTACTATTATTTTAATAAATTTTTTTTTCGCTCATTATATATTTGCTTTACGATTGTTTAGATTTATAATTGATATACAATCATTTTCTTTATTTGGTATGCAAACTGATAAACAACAAGCACGACCTTTATTAGTAACAGAAAATTTCAAATCATTTCTTCCATTAATTCATAGCGAATTGGAATTCTCTCCAATGGATAAAAAATCCGATTATCGTCTGTATTTAGTTATTGAACCTTTGAAAATTACGTACGATGCTGTAAGTTATACATCGAATTTAAAATATTGGTAGTGACTCTATTTCTTTGCATATTGTAGCCAACAATCAATCAAATTGTTGAATGTTTTAATCCAAATGATGACAGTCATTCGTCTACGTTATCACAGTTTGTTTAATAGAATCATTTTTTGAATAACACGGGGTATTTTATTGAATAGAATTAAACGGAGAACAATTGAAGAGATGGAACATGATCTTTCTCAAGAGAAAGTTTTCGATATGACAATTCAATTAAAAGGAATTTCACTAGTTTTACCGCAAAATGGTGTATCCTATATGTAAGGATATATTTTCATAACAGCATAGCATACAAATATCTTTTTTTTGAAGGTGTTCTTCCATAGTTCACATTGATTTTAATAGTTTAATATTAAAATCATGTTTAGGTGATAATACTTTACTATCTCAGGTATGTTTTATTAGATGAAATTAAAATTTTATCGTTTTTTTCCATGATAATCTATCATTCTCAAGGAAGAAGTACAACGATTTCGATTTTATACCAAATATAAATTACAATTACATGATCTACGAATTACATATGCACAATCAGGTATTTTTCAGAAATATTCATCTAAAAATACACTATATCAATTGTTTTGTAGATGAACAACAATTACATATCATACGGCAAATACCATTGCTTGATATTGATTTCTACAAATGTATTTATTCAAATGATGCCGATTTAACAGAGTAAATACAAACGAAGTATCTCTTTCTATATTTTATTTTTTATTTACAGTTGGCATATTGCCGCAAGAATTGCAAAAATAGATCAAATTGTATTATCAAAAACACTTTTAATAAAGTTGATGCATCATTTGAAGTCCGTTCCATTATTTTATTCAAATATGACCGAAACATTACATCGAATCAATCTTTATTGTAAAACTTCATTTCTCTTTATTCTTCATGATAAACAATTTTTATTTTTCAGTTACAATATTTCCACCTCACACAACCATGGAAATTGATCTTTCAATTCAAAGGTGCTTTCTACTATTCAGTCAATTTCATACGTCAATTATCACAGGTAAAATCTTTATAATACCTTTCTTTGTTACATCTATTTCTTGGATTATTAAAGATATTTATTGTCATTTATCGAAAGCAAGAGATAAAAAAAATATGATAATCACTCTGAATAATTTAATAATGTCACGTCATACTACTTCAATAATAAAACAACAGTAATGTATAATTTATCTATCTTATTACTAATATTTCTATTTACTTAGATCATCATGGTCACTTTATCAGAACAAATCGATTAGATTGAATTACAATAATGGTATACAAGAAACTGATCTTTGAACAATTGTTATTTCATTGTAGTATACTGAATGAACAAATAAACTAACTATTACATAATATAGCATGAGTGTTTTGATGTTGTAAATTGAAAAAGATGGCCTGATTCTCAGCGGGTTTATTTTAAGTTTATTGAGACATTATCCTAAATGAAACTTTATAAAAATACATTAATGAAGCCTCACACAACTATTCTGAATTTTAAAAAAAGAAAAAAAAAAGAAAGTACAATAAAACTTTCAATCATTCTTTTTTAGTATTGTCATTTTTTCGTTCTCTATTGAGTTTTGTTAAATTATCTTCGATATTTTTAATTGTTTGCATTTTTAATTCATGATATTGACGTAATTTTGCGTCTTGTTGTTTTTGTAATTCATTAAATTCATGTTGAAGTTCATAATGCCATGGATATAGAACTGTTACTTGAAATCCCAGTGCAACAGATGCAATGAGAAAATTAACAAATGGCAAATACTTTTGAATGAGAACGTTAACCATTTTATCTAAATGAAATAATTAAAAATAGATTTCGTTTAATTTTGACTTCAAGCAAAAGACAGACTGTATTTCTTTTTTTTGGTTGTTGATTTTAAAAAGACAAGAAAATAAATGTAGTTTACTTAATAAAGAACATATAACAATTATTTTGTTGAATTTGACAAAAGAAAAAAATGTTTTTCTTTTTTCAAATAACAGAATAAAAAAAAAAGCGAAAGAGAAATCTCATCAATGTAGTTATTAATAGACTCATATGCCTTTTCGAGTTCGTGCTACAAAAGTATGATGAGTCATAATTGCTTTCTAAAGTCAATTAGTCATAGGAAAAATCATGTTAGTTTTTCTATACTGAAATACAACAAAAACTAATCGAACAGACTTACTGTATAGGACTTCGTCTAACTTATGGAATGATTAAACAGTATATACGTTAACTAAACAGCTTAAATTCAATAAACATCTTGATAATTTCACAGACGCTCATCAATATCAATTATCCATTGACACTTATCTTAATGCAAAAACACCTCAAAAGACTTTGTACTATAGTATGGGTATACGTAAGAATAATAAATTTCTCAATCAACTATTTAAAAGAACAAAACACTCGAAAGCTGATTTAATAAAATTAATAAACAAACACTCTCGGCAATATGATGGGTACTTTAACCTCATACGATCAGCCTTTTGTCATTCCTGTCTATGCTCTCTACAGAATGAGAAAAAATCACCCACACTGTTAATCCCTGCTTCATTTCTCGTGCGTTCCTTCACATATATATATATACCTTAGAAATGCACTCACATTTCAATAAATGGAATGCCGTGTATTACATCATTTCGAATACATGCAGAAGTATATATATTTTGATAAATTATTTTTTGGCAGCATTATCATTGATTGTACTCTCTTCATCCTCTCATACGGTTATAAGTTTCCTCTATACACGCTAGATTGCATAAGATGTCGCTAATTAACATAGTTTATGTCCATCTGGTTTCTTACTATTCTTTTCTTCTATATTATCAACCTTAATATATAAGGACAATAAAAATATTATTTGTATTGATCACATATCAATTCAACTGATGAGAATCTCTAGAAATTTTTATCAGTAGAAGGTTGTACGTGTGAAAAACGTAATGAATAATGTTTTTGTATCATTGCTCAAAAATATATTTGTATTAAAAAAGATCACAATGACCGCATTGGTATATATTATTTATAATTTCAATAGAAAATTACAGTTTTATTTTTCACATTAAATAGATATTATAATATTCTTTCTTATAAATAGTAGAATTCACTATTCTAAAAATATAAAGTATTCAGCATAACCATAGAATTTTCTTTTTACCATAATTATAAGCGTTTGTCTCTATAAAAAAATAGGTAGGATGCATTTCATAATTCTATATATAGATAGAAGTAGATTGTATAATATAATCATAGATACTTATTCTTTGTCGACAAGGAATTATGTCTGAATAGTTTGAAAACACTCATGATTAATAATGACATGATATTTAGTAGTCTTATATCATAACTAACTCAGATGATTAAATAGTAATACAATGATTTGTGCTTGATTGTTTATAAATTGTAAATAGTACACACTATTTGTCTTATCATAATTCTCTATGACAAAAAAAACTCAATTCTTGTTCAATTTTTCATATAATAAATGTCTGGAATATTGTTTATGAAATAATATTTATTTAACAGTCGATAAAGAAAAAACAAACCTGAATTTTCTTATTACTCTGAACGACAAATATGATTCAATTTTTTTTTTCTTATGAAGAGAAACTATTTTATTTTATTTTTTATTGATATATAGAACATGAACATATAGAACTTGGTTATAATTGATGAAAAGAGAATAAAATATCTATTCAAGGATATTTTACTATCTTTTTTCTCTTCTGTTCATTATCATCAATGTTATTATTGTTATTTTAATACGCAATTTTCTTTTACTACTTTTTTCTCTTTTTCTTTCAATAGTGTAGTTATTAAAAAAAAGCATAACATGTAAACTGGAGAGGAGAGAAGAGGAGAGGAGAAGAGAAGAAAAAGAAAGAATTTTTATTTACAGCATCATTTTGTTCTTTTCTTTTGTTTGACTACCGATAGATGGTTGTGCATTGCGTCTGCACAAGATACTCTTGACATCTACTCGCATTTTATTTCTCACATGATTTCATGCACATTTTCAATAGGTAGATTATATGAATTTGTGTATGTATGTGTGTGAATTAAAAACATATGTATGTATTGTTTTAAATTTGAAATAATTCAAGGTAAGGATACGATTCAATATGAGCATATAATAAAATGAAACCTAAGTAATGCTAAATTCATTCTGTGGTTGCTATTTGCCAACTAATAGTAATAACATTGCAAAAAAAAATTCTGTCCTTCAGTCACTCATCATTGCCATTTGATATTTACTTACATATATCATTATGATACATTAACAACTCATAATCATATAAAAAAATAATAATTTCCTCTGTTCTTTATAAATAATCAACGACAAGTTGTAAGTGTTCTTAGAATATAATGTAAAAGAAAAGCATATATATTTTATCTTCAAAAGGGAAATAATTTTTTTGTCTAATAAAAATTTTTCTTTGTTGTTCTATAATATAAAGATTCTCGTTATTTTTTGTATATAAATGAATAATTATTATCTAGAATAATAAAAACATGACATGACGAGTTTTTTTTCTCTGTCAATAATTACATTACATGTAGAAAAAAACGGTTTTTACTTTTGTTATTTATATTGTTATTGGAAACCATTAATTGTTTTTTTTCTCGTCACTAATAAGAAAATTTTAAGATATTAATAATTAGTTTTATCATTTTCTTGTTCTAGATAATCATCCAATGGTGAATATGTCTAGTAGTAATAATAGCACACCACGTTCAACAATTGATGATTTTCGTGAAATAATACGTGAACAATCATTTATTATACCAAATAATTCATCATCGACATCATCATCTGATCATGTTCCAGTTAAAAAATATCCACCATTACCTGATATCACTGTTCCAAATACAACTTCAATAAATAATACTTTTTTTCGTACAGAAGCAGTTTTAATCACACCAAAAACAACAAATCAACCAAAAAAACAAATGTTCTATCATTTTGCACCAACACAAAGACAACATTTACCAGCACTTAATAAACGTCATGTTCTTCCAACAATGTCGAATGTTATGGATCTTGATGAAGATTTACCTCAATGTAATACAACTATAGTACATAGAGCAGCAACATATACATCACCAGGTGATCGTGTTGTATCACCGATAAAACGTCCTTCAGCTCCATCACCACCAGCAAGTGCACATCCAAGACGAGTTGGGCAAAATGCGTTTATTAATGGTGGAGAAAATCAAAGTGAAAATAATGATGTTGAAGAAGAAAATTATTCAGGATTAGAAGATGGCGATGATGATGATGATAGTCAATCATTTGATGAAAATTATTATGGTTATAATCAACAGCCAAGAACAATGATGAATCGTCGTATGGATCATTATAGTCATAGTAATCGTTATATAAATATGAATGATAGACAAAATACAATATTAACTACTAGTGATTATGATGAACCTGCTCATCCAATTGCTTCAAGTAATTTTCAACCGTGAAAATTTATATAAATCTTATATTCCTTGTATTCGTTCATTGAATAGATATTAACTTTTTGTTCTTATTATTAAAGAATTAAAAAGACATAAAAACGCGTTTTTTTTCTCTTCATGTTTTTCTTTGAAGTTTTATGTTAGATATATATCATACTTTGATTTCATCGAATAAAAAATAACAATAATATATCGATACGAGCAAAGAAGTCAAATTTTGTCAGTATCAGGAAAATAAATAATCGGATTAATTTTGATAAGAAATTTGAAGATTAAATCCATTCTCTAATCTCGAAAAGCACTGTAAAAAAACACATGATAGTGATTTTCAATATATATATATATTCACATTCCACCTGAAAAGTAAATTTTGTTAATCGTCATTGGAAGTCTTACGATAAATAACCAGCTTTATTATGAAAGATTAATAGAAGAGTTTATCTATTTATAAATCGATTTTATTAAAGTGCCTAGATTATATTACTTTTATACTTGAGTCGAATAAAGCAATTATAGGTTGCTATTATATTTTGACAAAGTATAAATATTTAATCTTTTTATCATTGTTATAATCACATTGCTAACTTTGAATACTTTAGTAATGGTTTTAGGATGTTCTTAGATGTTCAATCAAATAAACTTTTTTTTTGAAATCTGATTATATAATCGTATAGATATTGAACAAACTTCGATTGTCTTTACAATATTCATTAATGTCTGTACAACTTTTAAAAAGTCTTACAGATACATTTTTAGCAAAAAGATAACAACATATTAAGAACTGTAAGGAGAATATCTTCTAATCTAGTTGAAAATTCTTAGTATTATTTCTCAAAATGATATTTGAAACTATAGGTCCTTTCGGCATTTTTTCTAAAAATGACGTCTTTTGATACACAAAACTCTCCCGAATAGCTTTGTTCAACAGATCACTGTCTGTGGCATATACTATTCGAAAAGGAGTATTTAAATCGAAAAAATTGTTTGAACAGCTGTTGAAGTAGGTCAATTCTGAGGTTTTTAAAAATCTTTAAAATTCGGAGTACAAATAGTTTCATATGTTAGTTCATATGGATTTTACTGATCATTGATTAAGACTTTTTTTCTATACCTAAACGAATAAAATAATGTATATATATATATATATAAGCTATTATAGAAAAAAACAAGGTTGATGGATTCTTTTCAATATAGGAAATGTTCATATTCTTATATCATTACCATACATACATTTACTTTCTCTTTCAATTGAAAGAAATATTCATACTTCATATAATCATCAATATTGAACATATAACTTGAACCATGCTGACTTATATTATTTTCTTTGGTAGGTTCTACAAATCAATGTAATGTCATAGGAAATTTTCTATTTAAATAGCTTTGATTCAAATTAGCATTAATCTTCAATGTTATGGTTGTGCATTCTGTAATGATCCGTTTGATTCATCTAATATACCAATACTTACCTTTCCTAATAATGGAAATTACAGTTGTACGGTAAATAGATTTAATGTTTTGTTTTTCATTTATATAAAATTCCATATAGATAGAACATACTATTTATGGTTCACATCGAGATGTAACACAATCATGCAATCTAACTGATACGAATCAATTTTGCTGTCATACAGATTTATGTAATGATAGTAGTACGTTAAGAGCAATGAGTTTTATTTATTTTATTGTAGTTCTCATAATTATTACTAATGCTTTTAAAATAAAATGATATTTATATATTAACAGAATCTCACAACATGTTTCTGTTTTTATTTTTAAACGTTTAAGTAATGATGTTCAATTGTATTTATAATTATTTTAGCACATACAAAGAGAGTTGTAAATTCTATCATTTTATAACTGCGACAAAAACTTTTAAGTGATATACTTACCTTGTAAGTAAACCCGAGGAATTATTGAATCTTCTCTTACACGAAGAAAAAATGTCATAACTTTTCTAACAATTGAAATAGTACCGAGCTAGTAGGGTGTAATGTATTTAATTGGGTTATATCTCTTTAATTATATGAGTCATTCTTATACTTTGATAATATGGAATATAGTTATATAATAGTCTTTTACTTATTTTCATTACAATTTATTGTTTCGACGAAATAAAAATTCCTTTTTACTTTCAACACATTTTCAAAATGAAAATGCATATACTATATTTCTATGAATTATTTACACACCTTTGCAGTCATAGACTTTGCACTTGCGAAATCAAACAGTATGGTTTTCTCCAACCATTAAAAAATACCTTTTTGGAAGTGTGTCACACGTATTAATAATAAAAATATTTATTTTCTTTCCTTGTATCAAATAAACGGTAGAAATGAAATTTCCAGGTAACCTTATCGCATCAAACGTTCTCTTACGAAAAAACATTTTTTTCTTCCTTTACAAACGAACTAACTTTTATTGGTAAAATACAACAAGGAGTCATCGAACAAGCATATATTCTTACTCATTCTTTACTATAGCACGTGATTATATGCTTCCTAACGCGTTCGTTATTCGTAGGTGAATAAGATGAGTACAATTTCAATACAACATGACAATTTAGAAACATATTATTTAATTTGGCTTGATAGTTCAGTAAATAAATCACAAGAAAATATTCAAGCTCAACAAATTCTTCGTACATCAATTAATCATTTATTAACATTTGAAGATGATGAATTATGTCTTCAATATATTGATAATCTATCCTATGATGATCGAGTTATATTAATTGTAAGTGGTCAATTAGGTCAAACACTTGTTCCTCAAATTTCTCCTCTTCGACAAATCATATCAATCTATGTTTATTGTAGAAATAAAGAAATCAATGAACAATGGGCTTCTTATTATCCTAAAGTAAAAGGTGTCATGATTACACTAAACGACCTTATACATCAAATACAATCTGATCAAGCACAACGTAGAAAATATCAGAGAATTGATGAATATTTAACTATCAATATTTTTAAATCGAATATTCATAAAGAAGGACAATCAACACTTGGTTCAAATGGACAATTTATTCATTTTCATTTATTAATTGATTGTCTTATTCGAATGAAAATAACAAGCAATGATAAAGAAGAATTCGTTAATTTTTGTAAACAATATTATAAAGATAATTCGAATGAATTAAATCTTATTGAAGACTTTACTAAAAATTATTCATCAAATCAAGCTATATGGTGGTATACACGTGATTGTTTTCTTTATCGATTATTGAATAAAGCATTACGAGTACAAAATATTGATTTATTATTTTTATTAAGATTTATTATTGGTGATATTGGTCGTCAGCTAGAAACTAATAAATGTTTAGTACCAATACGAGCTTATCGAGCACAACAAATGTCAAAAGATGAAATTCAGATATTAAAAAATTCTATTGGAGAATTTATATCAATAAATTCATTTTTTTCTACTAGTCTTAATTATACACAAGCTCGATCGTTTCTTTATTCTTCTAATGATACTACAGATGATATTGAACAAGTATTTTTTGAAATCAATGCTGATCCTCGATTAGATAAAATAAAAGCATTTAGTAAAATTCATTCATTAAGTTATTTTCCAGAAGAAGAAGAAGTTCTTTTTATGGTTGGATCTATTTTTCGACTTGATAGTATTGAATGTGATCATGAAGGAATATGGACTATTCGAATCGTATTATGTTCTGAACATGAACATAAATTAGAAACACTTTTTCAACATATGAAAAATGAATTCGATAGTGGACAAACAAATATTCTAGTCTTTGGTCATCTATTACGAAAAATGGGTAAATTAGATGATGCTGAAAAATATTATCGTCGTTCTCTTAACACATTTTCATATGATGATTCAAATAAAGCACTTTGTTATCATGCATTAGGTCTTGTTGCTGATGATAAAGGTGATTATGAATCAAGTTTAATATGGTACAATAAAGCACTTGAAATATTCATGCGAATATTAAAATCAAATGATCCAAATATCGCTCTTATTCATAATAGTATTGCTATTATTTATCAACACAAAGGCAATTATAATCTTGCATTAGAATCATATGAGAATGCATTGACTATTTGGAAAAACGTTTTTGGTGAAGATCATCCTCATGTTGCTATATGTCTTAATAATATTAGTAATGTATATCGAAATGAAAAGAAATATTCGAAAGCATTAGAATGTGTAGAAAAAGCATTGGTTATCTTTCAAAAACATCTTCCTGCTGATCATTCAGATTTAGCTTCAACCTATGGAAGTATTGGTAATATTCATTTATGTCTTGGTCATCATAATCAAGCATTACAATATTATAATCTTTCATTGAAAATCTATGAAAAATGTCATCCATCTCAACATCCTGATATTGCTATAACATTGAGTAATATTAGTAGTGTTTATGAAGATAAGAATGAATATCAACAAGCACTTGTTTATCTTGAACGAGCATCAGATATTTATCATGATTTGTTACCTTCAACACATCCGAATGTTATTCAACTTGAACAGAGTATTAAACGTGTTTCAGAAAAATTAAAATAATTTTTTTTTATTTTAAAATTTCGATAATAGAATTATATATAATGAATATTATGTAAAGGCATTTATTAAATGTAGGTTTTGTAAATATAAAATTATTCATACTAAAAATAAAATATATATGAATAGATTAGGAAAAATCCAAATACACTGCGACAAAAACAACATGACACATGGGAAAAAACACAAGAGCAATATGTATAGGAAATATCCAAGTAAAAGAAAGGAAAGAAAAGAAGATCTATATATATATATATGTCTGTCGTGCATATGATCTGTACGAGAATTAGATAGACGAAGGAAAGAAAGAAATATCCAACATAGGTGAATACACACTATAACAATTATTGTTCTCAAAATTCTTTTCGTTTCTCTGCTCATTTCGTATTACATGGATCCAGTTTATGTTTCTAGTAAGTGTAGTTTTTTTACAATTAAGAATTCTCACGAAGATTTTAATATAGGAAGACGAAATCAACAATATCATCGTCGTCGTCGTCGTCATCATCTTCTGGTTGAACAACGAAAACGACAATATCATCAGCAGCAGCGATACCAACATACTATCGATGTTCCTACTTTGATTAGTTGTCTAACAGTGACTATTAAGTCTGATAAGTATATTATATTTTCAATCGATTCACATCATTATATCTGCCGTATACCCAGTCTATCGACAGTAAATATTAGTTCGTCCGGTGTGTTCGATACTTCTCCACCAGCTCATCGTCCTTCGACTGCTCGTTTTATAGATGACAAACAACAACCTGATCATCCCGATTATACTCAATTTGATATTAACAATATTTAATAGTTATTGTAAATGCTTTTTTTGTTTGATATTTTTCTTATTTGTTCTCTATAAGTGAACTACATATGACAAATTGTTTTTAATTTTATATTAACGAATAATAAGATTTAGAATTAGGTTTTACTTTTTTTATAATAAATATTAGATAAATATAACCATTGTATCATTGGTTTTTAGCATGAATGAGTTATGCATAAATAGATTGTAAATTAGAAAGACAAACATTATAGAGTATTAAAAATATTATTCTAAAAGTGTGAAAAATTAATTTTCGATTGTATGATTTGTAAACTCAACAAAAATTCATATGGGGATTCTTAGAATAGCGAATTCGTCTATCATGATTTGAATATTTTGCAATAGATAGACAATAGATGAGGGTGTGGGTGTCAGTGGGGATGTAAGTATTAGAATGTACATCTCTACCTTTACACCAGAGTCATCGCCACAACCTCAGCCAAACCGATACCCACCCTTCCATCTCATCTATACACTATTGAGTAAATACATTTCTTTTTATTATGATTATCTCTTTCATGAATTACTTTCATCTGTTTTTAAAAAATCTTTTGTGATTATTATTTTACGTTTCGGTTTTATTATAACTTTATCTACTCTTTATTTTAGTCGGTTTTTTCTGATGTTTTCGTTCTATCATATTATTTTTTCTTTTTCTCTGTCGATAGAGAGGGAAAATGTTATGGCATGATAAAACACATGCCATAAAGAATATTAATTCTCTTTCATTTTTCTCATGTATTACAAATATCATTGAATATTTAAGGAGTGACTATTGTGAAGAGAAGGATGATGCTTGCTTTATGAAAGAAGAGGAATAAAGAACAAAGAGGGGCGATAACAAACTTCCTTTTATTTTACCCAGTAAAGTAAATATAAAATATTATCTCAAGCATTCAAGTTTATATAGAGAAATCATTGACATATACGTCATTCTACAGTTTTCGATAGTTTATTTATAGTTAAATCAGCATTTGCTCTTCCTATACCTTATTTTGTGATTGAAATATTTGAAAATGATAGGATAATCATTTTTTATGTATCTTCATTCTCAGAATAAACTATGTTTAATGTAATGATATTGTATAAAGATATGTTTTAGAAATATTATAATTTCTTTATTTTTACTATGATGGAGATGAATGATCTGTCTGATGAGAATTACTGTTTCAAGAGAGAAGACAATCATCTTGAAACATTTACTCTTATCTGGTTAGAGACCAATATCAATTGTGATCAAAAGCATGAAGATATTGAAGAAAAGCTTCGTACTACTATTAATCATATCAAGAAATTTGATGATTTGGACAAGTGTAAAAAGTACATTGAAGAAGCATCAAAAGATAATAAATTAGTAGTTCTTATTAGTGGTCAATCGGGTCAACAATTAGTCCCTTTAATTCATCAACTTCAGCATATTTCAGCAATTTATATTATTTCTGAAGACAAAAATAATAAAACTTGGGCTCGTGATTTTCCTAAAGTAAATTTGTTATTTTGAGAAATGTTAATCATGTTGTATTGATTTTTTAGTTGAAGACTGTGAAGAAAAGCCTCAAAAATTTGACATCGCAGATCAATGAAGATTATGCAAGACAAAGAAGAGTTCACGAATCTGAGTGTTTCAACATGTTCATCGGCATTAATGAAGGAGGAACATCAACAACAAGTATCAATGGCCAATTTGTTTTTTCTCAACTACTTATCGACTGTCTTCTTCGATTAACATCCAATGAGATGGATAAAAATGAATTAATCGATTATTATGAGAAAGAATACGAAGGAAGTTGTGTTCAACTCGCTAAGCTTAATGAATTTGAAAAGGATTATTCGCCTGAAAATGCTTTATGGTGGTATACTCGTGAATCATTCTTCTATAAGACCCTAAACGCAGCTCTACGTAAGCAGACTATTGACATAATGTTCTTGTATCGTTCGTACATTTCTGATATACATCGACAATTACAACATCATCAATTAATGTGCCCTATTCAAGTTTATCGGAGCCAGTTGATGTCGACTAGTGAGCTAAACTATCTTCAACAGCAAAAAGGTCAACTTGTTTCTGTAAATTCGTTTCTTTCCACCTCTACTGATCGTGAAGTAGCTGACATATATACGGGTGACACAACTCAGTACAAGAATTTAGAACGAGTTTTATTTGAGATTGATGCTGATCCTAAAGTAGTCACAACGAAACCTTTTGCTGACATTAGCAGACTTAGTCATTTCCGTGAGGAATCAGAGGTATTGTTTATGCTTGGCTCAATTTTTCGTATTGAATCCATCAATTGTACTAATCAACTCTGGACGATTCATATGTCCTTATGCCGTGATGACGAACACGATTTGAAGGAAGTTCTTGAATATATGAAGAAACAAAATGGTATTGAACAGACGAATCTATGTACATGGAGCAAGATCCTATTAAAGATAGGCAAATTCGATCTGGCGAAAAAGTACTATATTCGTTGTGTCAATGAACTCTTAGATAATGATCCTTTACTTCTCATGGCATATGAAGGACTTGCTGATATTGCTTATCAACAAAATGACTATGATGAAACTATAAAATGGCAGCAAAAATTAAATGATTTCAAAGATCGAATGACACCAGGTAATTGTGTGAAGAAGTTTTTCATAGAATATTAGATTTTGAAAGAAATCCCAGCGTTATTGTAAGAGGTTGAAACATGAGCTGTCTAACTTTATCTATGAATAAATTTTCGATGAAGAACTTTTAAAAGCGCTTGTCAAAAATTCTGTAATAATTATATATTTTCGACCTTCATAAAACACTCTTAAGGCTTTTGTATTACTATTATGATTCAAGAGTCTACTCAACAAGAAAAAAAGTGAAACATTTTTTGAGAAATATCTCTGCAATATATTTGTTTACATCAGCGTGAGTTTTACAAAAATCATAGCTGACAAGTAAGCTGCATATCAAGCAAACTATGATGTATAAGTTTCTATGATTCTTTAAATACTGTCTGCATTTTTTATGATACGAGATCTACATAGTTTGAAGATAGAGTAATCTTGAAAATATCTGCTCACAGCTGCGCAAATAATCAATATTGCTAACTTTTATGGCACACGTGAATGAGAAATGTATCATATCACAATGAGTGAAAGTATTATTCATGTATGCTCGTCTACTTTCTATCCTTTCGTACACGTATGTATGTTGCTCAATTTGCTACCTTCTTCTTTCTGACCGATATTTTTCTTGGTTTATTTCGTTCTTTCTTGTAAGCGATTATTGAAGGATTTTAAAACTATTTTGTATGGCTTAAAATTATTCCATTGTTAGGTTAACGCAGTACATAAGTAGCTAGGTTGGCATGTGAACAAGGTCATTTTCTTTTAACCTGTTCTTGCTAAATTTAAAAACAGGGAGTCTAAAACCAACTAGAGTATATATTGTAATTTAAGAAAATACACGTAACTTTCGTCTATTTTAGAGGTATCATCATCGGAAAATCCAGATATAAAGGCGCCATTGCTGAAACGTTTAAATACTGGGCATCGAAAAAAATTACGATTCTTCCTGACGGGATGTATCTGTCTTCCAGTCATTTTGCTTGGGATTCTGCTATATCTACAAACTACCTCAATCAGTGGAGGCAGCGCCGCGATATCTGGTATGTGAACAACTACTTGAGGAAATGAAGAAAGGAGAAGGATATTCGCATAAAGAGAAAAAAGGAACGTGTTAATTTTTTACGAAAAGCTGATTCAGGAAATGGTAACTTAAATTCCTAACTTATACCCAGCTCACATATGTGATTCTGTATTGAAAAGAGAAAAGGTTTTGGGTGTGGGTGTATTATGGTTAATATACTCATATCCACACCCACACCCACACCCACCCTCAAGAGATGGCTGAATCAGAATTAATGAAAAGCATTGAAGTGAAGAAAAATTGATTTGTTTTAAAAGAAAAGAAAGAAATTTAATTTTTTGAAAATTTAAATTATTATTATTTATGATAAGTTTCCTAAAAAATTCGTTTTTCGTTCGAATTTGTATTTAACAAAGAATAAATCAATAAATTTTTTCTAATTTTTCTTCCGTTAAAATTAAATATTTTGTCAATTTGTTTCAAAAATAAATTGTTTTTCAATAAAAAAATTCTTTCTTTTCAAAATTTGTATTCGAACGAATATGAATTTCAGATTTTTTTTTCTTCAATCAAAAACAAATTTTCTTCTTTTTCTTAAAGTGTTTTGCTTTCATCATTTTCTAGCACCAAAAGTCAGCAAATGGAAACAAAATGGCATCACTGTGGCTGGTGGAAATGGACAAGGACCCCAATTAAATCAACTCCATGGCCCTCGCGGAATCTTTATTGATACAAAGAAAAATATTTTCATTGCTGATTTTTATAATCATCGTATTATTGAATGGAAAAACAATGCAAAAGAAGGACAAATCATTGTCGGTATTAATGGGCAAGGAAATCGTATGGATCAATTGGATCATCCAACAGAT